TTGGTTCGTGTTTGGATGATCTAAGAGTGGAGGTCATTTGCGGCCTTCAAATATGGAATTGTCTAGAAAGTAGCTTCATGCGTTCAGACGAGACCAGCCAGTGGAAACTGAAGAAAGGAGTTGTTTTTCGTGACCACTTCGTGCTTGACATCTATGTGTGTGAAACTAGCTATATCAGGCCTATGTCTAATAAAGTTTTCAATAATTCTACTTTTCATTTAGAAGTTTGTCTAAAATTATTCCCATTTTATAACCTTTTTATGTTTTAAAATTTTATTTTTCAAATACACTCCCCCACCACCTCCCATTTAGCTAAGCTTAGTCTACAAAATTATTTTTATAGGCCTGCCTATGACTAGGCTTATGTAATGCATGATACTTGATAGAGACTAATATTTCAATAATACTTACCTCTTATGATTAAATCTATAGTAAGCCTGGAAAGTGATTGTCAGTAAATATTATAAAAGTAACACATATATGTATAGAAAATCAATACTCAAACAGTCAAGCAAGACAAAATCAAAAGGAAGGACTGCATTAAAAACAGCAGATCCAAGCCTTTGATAAATGACATCCAAATGAACAAAAACAAGCAAAAAATAAAATCAAAGACGTAGAACAAATCAATAGGATCCCTAAAGTACAGGGTGTAATGTGTGATAAAAAATGTGCCCTGGGTTTTGGAGGTGACTGCGGAAGTAGGACCCACATTGCGGTGAGGATACACCGTCTATCAGTCTTAATCTCCGTTTGCCAGTCTCACATAAAGAAATTAAAAAAATACAATAATCAAAAGAAGTAGAAATTTGGAGAGCGAGATGTGGGTGCTCTAGCTCACAACGTCCCACATCTATACCACCTTTCACTGCCTGCAGACAGTTGTGTGAAGGTGACTGCTCTCAAAATTAAAATAAAGAAAGAAAAAAGAAATAAAGCACTACCATTGGGGATAAGTAAGGTAAACTTACCTGCTGAGGTTGGCATTTCAGCACCCATTGTTGTAGTGAAGCACTAACTAGTAGCACACAGGACAAATTATACTAGTATAAAATCCCAACCAAGTTATCTAAACTAACTAGTATAACTCCAAACCACCACTTGTAATACCAGTTGCTGTGTTCAGCTGGTCCAAGACAATCACATCACAGCCCATGAGAAGAACTGAGTGAGCACTGAAAAGGATAAAACGCTTTAACCAGCCAGTAGTTTGACATACCTGAGGAAACTATCCTAGGCCTATAAAATGTCAGTGACAATGCCAAATACACATATTCCAATGTGAACAAAAGTTAATCATTATTTTCATTCAATTGGTACAATTATATCGTTTAATTCATCAATTTAGAACAAAGTTCTTACGAATATATTGAAACTATGTTTGGTTTCATGTAACAGAACAATACTATAGTCTGATACTGTATCATTGCTTATATTATTTTGTTTACCTGTCGATCAAATCGGCTTTTCTGCCAGTAGATTTAGCTCCACTACATTTAAATCCCGTCTTAATCATGCTAAGATACCAATTTTCACATTCATTTTAGTGGAATTGGTAATATATATATATCAGCAAAACAAGTGAAATTGATGTATCGCTCAGACTTATTCAGTTATAGACTAACCAAGTGCTGAATTGCGAAGCATGCTAGCCCAGTGCTGGGACCCCATCGATACTGACGCCACCGTGCGTTAGCAGTTTCGCGCACGGTCTCTCATTAGAAACACCTTTCAGAATAACTGTTCAACCAAAAATTATTTCGAGCTGATCGTAATCAACAAGAGCAGGACGACGGGGGATATTAATATCTCTGAACAACCCAGTTGGAGAAAATGTCTTTCCTCTAACAACTAAACACCTGTCATGATAAACAAACAAACAAAAAAACATTAAATGACACTCTTTAGTTGTAGGTTGTCAGTGTTTAATGGTGAAAATGGTTTAGTATAGCGAATAGTTTTGGATACTGGCAATCGATTCATTCGTAGTGTTGTAAGGTTGTTATTTTGTTGGTAGGTTCTCTTAAATTATGAGGTGAAAATTAAGTAGATATACAATTTGACTAATTTTTCGAGAGACAAATTACATATTCAGCTCTGCCCTTGCTGAAAGCCCGACAGATCCGGGGAAAAGTCTACAAGTAAAAATGATCCCTCAGTCCATAATGGGTTTTCTTGTTGAAGCTCTTGTAATTCACTTTAAATGTCTTATCTTATAATTTTTGTTGGTTATTTTAAGGAAATCGCACCCCTCCGTCTTTTTTTCTTTTGAAAATGCGAAAAGCACTCATAAATTGTCTAAAAATGAGCAAAATATCCGCGAGGAAGTTCAGTAGCATTCATTCGCCAAGACAATTATTGTAAGACAGGGAAAGTGGATCGGAAGTGAGGAGATGTAACATTCAAGTCGAGAAACTTGTTCGAAATGGCAGATCAGTTACGTCACTTCTTGTTCAAAGTAGCCCATTTCACAGTAGAGATGTGGTTAAGATTTCTACTGTCTGAATTGGGTACATTTAATGCATTAAATTTAATAGTAATCTTGAATTTTGCTTCTACAGAAAATTTTATTCTACATCAAGAAGTAAGAAATATCTTTAAAAATATTTTAATTATAAAATACTTCTCTAATTCAGGCTTAAGCGCTTATTCTAACCCTACTATAAACCCGAAGTTAAATGGTGTGAATCAGAAAAGAGCAGGAAACTTAATCTGCAGTGAAACAACCGACCCAAAACAATTCTGGACACATTTAAAATGATTCAGAAATACAGGGAACTCAACCCCAAATTACCCGCCTATAGAAACACATAACACTTTGGCACACACAAATTTTGAAAAGGCCGAAACTTTTAAAGAACACCTACAACACCCGTTCCGGACACACCATAAACTAGACACGAATACACATTTTTCTAATGAGGTGAACAAGTATGTAATACAAAACATAAATCTGTACACACTACAATTCATTACTAACATAAACAAATGACGATACAAACTAAATTCCTACAATATATCATGTGACAAAAACCATAACGGAAATAGAAGTTAAAAAAGCAATTAAAGCAACAAAATACAAAGCTTCAGGAGAATATAGCATTCAGGCTATCCTACTAAAAAAAAGAGAAAAAAAAGGCACTCAGAGATTGTTTGAACTCTGAACAGCCCTTTTAAACCTTTCATTAAATTCTGGATACATCCCTGCAATTATGTGAAGAGAGATTTTCCAAAGGATGGCGCTACAATAAACACTACGCACGTGATTTTGTAAGTTTGTTTGAAAGGTATGAATTACAGTACGAATTGTCTCGGAAGTTTGTGGAAGTTTTATTTATATCAAGCTGTAAGGACAATAAAATGTTGACAAGTTATAGAGAGGACATCTTAATACAGTATAGTAACTAACGAGTAACAAAGTTCAAATACGTAGTCACATTTAAATTGTACTGTTTATGTTGTTTTCAGTTACTTTTCAATCAAGTTCTGATAACAAATTCACGCCTACTAATACTACTGCTGCTAGTAGTAGTACTGCTATTAGTATTACTAATAATATTATTAGTAGTACTTGCCATTGACTTGAGTGGAACTTTGGAAAAGAAAGAGGAATTTTTACCAACATACAAGTTATAACACCGTTGATGGTCCAAGTTTCTACTTCGGTTATCTGTAATGGACGAATTTTGTGGCTCAGAATTTTGGGTTAGTGAACATAATAATCTATCTATATTTATTTAATTAAGAAGTGCGAGTTAATTTTTGTGTTTAGGAGTGAGATAAAATTAAAACAAAAGTGATGTATATGAATTTATCATACCATTCTCAGCACGTATTAATTATTTAACAGTTTTTATGGTGGTATAGTGTACTTTTAAGATATACAACTGACAGAGAATCAAACAGTTCACTCAGTTGTAACTTGTAGATCTGCATATGATTGCAGTCTTACTCTTAACTAGCCTATGTTTATAGAAACAAAAAACTGTATATCTCTTCTTAGTCACTTGTTATTCTCAAAGTAAAATTAAGAAAAGCTGTTATTGGTACTTTAAATAAAGCATAAAATATTCATCTGATATTGATAAATGTCTTCCAGTTTAAAAATGATATCTAGCATCTCTTTCATTTAAACCAGCCATCTAGTGATCTAAATTAATACCTGTATGCTAATGTAAATGTATTGTTAAAAGTATTATTCATAAATCAAGCACATCTATAACTGTAAACCACTTTTAGTTAATTAGTACATACCAAAAATCATTCATGAATTTTTTGAAACTGCACAAATATACTCATTAACTGTTTTAGTAAATTCATTATGAAAAGAGATTTGTGTTAAATTATTAGTTATACTTTTTTGTTTTTGTTTTTAATATAATATTGAACTACAATTGTTGTTAAAACTAGATGTCAGTAAATTACTGCTTATAATTTATTTAACATTCAGTATAATCATACAGTTTATTCTACTAAAACATTTTGATACCATTACCTAAGAAAGGATATTGAATTATTGAAAAGGGTTCAGAGGAGAGATACTAGGATTATTCCTGGAATGGAAAGGCTATCTTATATGAATAAGTTTAGGTCTCTCAAGGTTTTGTTATTTATAACAGTATGAATAACTTGTGGAATGAGTTGCTGTTGGCAGTAGTAGAAGCCAGTACTTTACAAAGAGCTTTTAAGAGATGAATAAATATTTTCCAAAATAGATTTTGAGTATGGGTATGATTAAATGGCCTCTTATTATCCATCTATTATGTTAAAGAAAAATAAGATGTTGTATAATTATGGAATATATAATATGACTGAAGTGTTCTAGCAAGTACTAATTTTCAATCTGTTGATGTGTAAAATATGTATATTAAAAAAAACATATAGAATACCGTTAAATTTCTTAACAATGTAAATAATTGTTAATGCAGTGTATAGGGAATGCTTAAATTTAAAGCACATCATAGATGTTTTTTTTATCACAAACTAGCTACTTTACTGTTCAGTTTTTATTTGTGATTTTAGCTGTATGATTTTTTCAAAATCTGTATGCAGGTATAGAGGATTGAGCACATTATGTTAACATGAATTTGAATATGCAAATCAACAAGTTACATGACAATTACAGTTGATATAATGTCGTGGTGAGTGGCATGTACTTTGATGTTGTTTCGTAGGTAATGTCATCAAAAAATCATCTCTTTTGAGAAAGGTATGTAACAGCTCTTTTGAACAATAAATATTCATGCAGATCATACAGATGTGCTCTGATTGGGGATTTATAATTTCCAAGATGTGATATCCCTTGTACTTAGTAACAATGGAAAACAATGAAACATGAGTCAACATAGGTACCAGGATCATCCTAAAAATTACCTGCAGGAAAATGCACCCTGGCCACGGTAACAGTTAAGTATTAAAAACACAAAAGTCAATAACAAAAGCCATCCACATGCTTCAGACAACAGTATAAAACATAATCAAGAATCTCTGTTTGGAAAAGTGACGTAAATTATGTGTACATAAGTTGCTTTCAAGATGCATTACCTCAAGCAGCTGAAGAGAAAAAGAACAGATATTAAAATTATTCAATACAAAAACATACTGTTTAAGTTACTTATGGACTTCTGTACAATTAAACTGTTGAAATGGGTGATGAGAAACTGTTATCCTCATGTACTAGATGTGTTATGGAAAGAATTCACAGTGGAGTGGTGTGCTTTGGACATGAAAGACTTACAATATAGCCTTTTATAATGGAATCCACATTGCAGTTCTATTGTCAAGATACACAGTATTCAGGTAGAGCATGACTGGACATGGTGACATCACTTGTAATGAAGTAGTGAGTCTTCAAAAACATTTAAATATAATGTACTTGACCCTCTGCATATGTGCATTCATGAATATCATAGTTCATACAGCCGAAATGCATATTTCTGAGATGAAAAATGTCCACCGTTTTTGAGTTTTGTTGTCAGCATGTTTGGTTAAGGTGGTTTTAGTGTTATTTGATTCAGTTGGAGAATGTTAATGTTAATAGATTTTTCTTTTTTTTATCGAGTGGGTTTCAGATCATAGAATATTTTATAATGTAGATTTAGATCCATTTGCTATTGTTTAATGGTAACGGTGGTAGGATTAGCAGACATAGATTTACGGTTTGGCAGGATAGAAGTTATCTATAAACTTGGCAATTTTATTTTCAAATCAGTCTATGGATTAGACATGGTAGCTGTAACAGGATTGGAAGTGTTGAAGAGAGGACTTAATACTGACAAATGGGTGTTTGATGAAATGAATATGACAGCCTCAAGGGGCTCCATGTTATCCCTCGTATTTTATGTTATGTAACGAGTGCACCCATACTATAACTAAGATAACATTTAATGTGTACGTGTCAAGGAGATCCAAGAATTGATACTTAGGTTTGTTATGTATACTTATCTTTGAAGTGTAAGTGAGGACAGCACCATTATTTAAATATCTAATTCTGTGGCCTAGTTTGTCTTGTGATTATTGAACAATCGATCTTGTGAGATGACGATAAGTTTCTCATTCATACTTTTTAGACTTTGATCAGCATTTGTTTGATATGTAAAGACTTTGATCAGCATTTGTTTGGACATGTAAGTGTATATTCTGTGTTCTAGAAGTTGCTTGATCACCAAAATAATGTGTATCATATATGGAAATCAATACTCGTGAGTTTTAGGGACTGAGACTGTGTGTATATATATATATATATATATATATATATATACTATGTGTAGTAGTTAGTTACTACGTTACTTTATTTTGTTTACGTTTTAGGTTTAGGTTAAGTAGTAAGAAACTACTTACGTAGTAACAAAACGAACG